AAGCTCCTGGGGTGAAAAAACATCTTTCTACTGGAGCACCTCTTGTGTGAGGACAGGCTGAGAGAGTTGGGGGGGACTCTTCATCAGGGAGTGCAGTGATAGGACAACAGGTAAAGGTTTTAAACTGAAAGAGGGAAGATTTAGGCTAGACATTAGGAAGAGTTTCTTTACTGTGAGGGTGATGAGATGCTGGCACAGGTTGCCCAGAGAAGTTGTGGGTGCCCCAGCCATGGAGGAGTTCAAGGCCAGGCTGGATGGGGCTTTGAGCAACTTGGTCTGGTGGGAGGTCTCCCTGCCCATTTCAGCGGGGTCGAACTGGGTGATCTTTAAGGTCCCCACCAATTTGAACCATTCTATGATTCTATGTCCTTACAGCCTCCAGCCATACTAGGACCCCAATTTTGGTAGTTCATAAGATAAAAATTAACTGGTATATACAGCTCATGTTTTAATAAAAGCTTTGCTCAGGGGATAAGAAAGACCACAAATAGAAAATGGCAGGCCAGCCTGTAAAGGGAGAAGAGCCAAACTTGATTCACTCATTTTTGTTTTGTTGGTTTGATTTTAAAAGATATTCAAGCTCTCTCTGCTCCGAGACACGGTTACCTTTCTACTACCTCCAGATGCACCTCCCAAAACTGGTAGCACTCTTACACACCCAGAAAATGAAATGGTGGGAAAAGACACCAAATAAGGTGACTTCATGTGTCATGGCTGACTCTGCCCAAAGCCACGGGAACACACACTTCTCATGTCATTGCCCTCATGGGCACCGCTTGGAGAGGGATAACTCTCCGACCTTAAGGCCCAAGACTTGGCTCAAAGCCGACACTGTGTGCCAGGGCTGCAAGATGGCTGCTTTCAGCCACACAAGGACCAAATGCTGCTGCAGGGCTGAACCCCAAAGCCCCATCCACACTGCTGCCCTATGGGCTGTTTCTTCCCAGGGGAAGAAAAAAAAAAAAAAAAAAAGAGGCTAAACATCCATCATCATAGAAAATATTTTGGTTTTTTGGTTGTGGGGATAACCCTCCAGCTCCACTGGGCTTGGTGACAAGCAGGATGAAACACCAGCACTAACAGCAAGTCCCCGGTGAATCTTCTTGGCCTAATGGATTAAAAGCTTAATTAGAGTTACCTGAACATTAAATATCATTAGAGTGCACTCAAATCTGCTCTAATTTATTTTTTTTTTCCTTTAAATGGCCTCTTAACTAACTGATCTTTGGGGCACAGCTGTTAAAGTTTTTGAAACTTTCCTCTTTTCAGCTCTTTTCCCTTGAGAATGAAGCTGATGCAGTCGTGCTGTGCATCAGGCAACACTCCTACACACCTCATCTCCAGCCAAAGGCGAATTAAATGGAGGGAAAGTTGTCTCAAAATTATCAAGCTTTGTATCTGGAGAGAAGGGAGATGCTCGGTAGGAGCTTCACAGTGTAAGAGACAAACCCATACCAGACACCTGAGAAGCTATAAGGCAGGAAGCCATAGGAACCGAGGCTCTATTGGTCATGCCATCCATTTTTTAAGCAAATAGTTGTGCCTAACACCTTTCATGCTTCAAATTGCTACTGAGAGTAGTAAGACTGTATGGAAATGTGTAATAAATTAGAATTAATGGGAAGAAAAAAATACAGTGTAACTGGAAGACGGTAGAAAGCACGTGCCTTCAGATGTGAGGGATATCAACCACGTGAAGTTTCCATCACCGTGTTTCTGGTTTTGCCTGGCTGTAGTCACCAACCATCCCACCCTGACGGCAGAGGGTTCACATGGCTCTCACCAAAACCTGGGGAAAGCTGGCCAAACTCTGCGTCAGACCCAACAGACCAACTGCATGACTTCACCAAGAAGCAAAGCACAGACGGCCCCAGAAACCCCGCCAGGATGGCCAGGCAGCACCATGAGTCAGAGAGGCTATCGCCAGGAGCAGGAGATCCCCAAGAGGTATCTTAGCAAGAGGTTTTTTGTATGAGCTTTATGCTTATGTCAGAAACTCTTCAGCTGGTGGTACCCACAAACACCTGTTAGCAGTTTCAGCGCATGCCACACAGCAGACTTCTGTTTGTAGCTTTTGTGAAGTAAACCGGTAAAACCGGCATGAATGTACGTATTTGAACAAGCAGACGCCAGACACTTCAGATTCTTAATTGGAGCAGCTTCAAAGCAGCAACTGGATTTAAGTGTCAAAAGTGAGGGTGATCAGAGAGGAGGAGCAGAGATGCAGGTGCTCTTCTGCTCCGTTTTTCCTCTTCTTTTTTCCATACCTCCCTGAAAGAGCACTGTACCCCTGACAGATCTGTGCCAGCATCACTTCTTAGGCTTCAGCCACGTGAGCTGGAGTCCTCCTTGAGCTCAGCTTTACACCCAATTTACATACCCCAACTGATGTGGAAAAGAGCAGATTGCCTCCCCTATTTGAGTACCAAATCTGGGGTCACAGGTGAGACCGATGAGGTAAAAGAACACTCCTAACTGTTGTTAACTAGCACCATGTGAAGTTCGTTATGGGCCAATTGACAGCAGGAGCTGACACTAGCAAAGGTTTCTTGCAAAGCATTCTATTTCCCAAATATTTGTCTTCAAAGTAGTATTTGCTAAAACAACAGTTACTTTGGCAAATAATAGTTGGGAAATAAAATGCTTCACAAGAACCTTGCTTGTTACACATTCCCATTTTATAATCAGCCATTGGGATGCTGAGATTTCACTGAAAGCCAAATATTCACCTACTGTGAGCATTCGTGATTGATGAAGATGTCCAGAAAAAAAAAAAAAGCGCCGGGAAGCAAATAGAGGTGCCAAAGTAACATGAGAATCCAATGAGAAATGGGATTTACTAGGTCTGGCTCTGCTGGGGGTCACCAAAAGGGGTTTGCTGATGACTTCTAACAGGGCTGTCCACAACAGGACTGTCTTGGTCTCCTCCCTGTGCCACCAGTTCTCTGCACAGAAACTACTACCCTGAGTCCCTCCATTAAATATGGTTCAACAGTCGCTGTGGATGGCTGCATAACACATGCACACAGTGACTAGTTAACCCTCATTTCCTTAGGATAAGGTTAAAAAAACCTGCAAAAGCGAGTAATGGCACGCTGAGCTTCTGCACAAAGGGGAAGCAGGACTATAGCAAACTGGTCTAAATTCTTCTGATTAAAATTAATCTCTTCCAGAGAGCAGTTTCACCCAGATCAAAACCATTTGTAAAAGTGTTTGAAGCAGGAGAAAGAAGAAAGTTTAGCTCCAGTATGCTCAAAATGAGTCTTGCCCTTAATTCAAATCCTGTTTTTACTCAGTTTATCTCCAATTAATATGTTTGATAGCACAAAAACATAATCCAACACTGAGCAAAGACCTTCCATCAACCTGATACAAGCTACAGCCAAAAAACCATAACTAAACCAGTTTGCCAGTAAGGCAAACGGCAAGGAGTAACTCCCAACGCTTTACCCGGCACAGCAGCAGCTCCCGGGTCTCTCCATCCCCACCTGCACACCAGGAGAGCCACTGCTCACCGTGGGGGGGATCAGCGTGTCAGGAACCATCCTGCAGCACAAACAGCAACGCTTCAGCAGGAAGAAACAAGGAATGTAATGGGCTATTCTGCTAACCTCAGAGCAAAGCAGAGAAGCTTCTACAGCTTCTGCTCAACCTCTCTCCTAGGGGGGCAGATGGCCAGGGAACCCTGCAAGTGACATGAAACCCTCTCCCCACTGGAAACCTCATCCTCAACAGACAGCCAGAGCAATTACCCAGCACCTCCAGTCACATCCTCCACACAACAAGAGGTCTGTCCCCAACAGCGGCAGTGATGCTCTCACCCATCGGCACCGGCTGTTGCGCAGGGCAGGGGAGCGTGGCTCCCTGCTTCAGTCTTAAGCAGCATTATTTAAAGTTTCACGGTACAATAAAGGCAATAAATTAGGAGTGATGATTCCCTAAGTGCCGTATGGACAGCAGAGACCACAGAGATCCATCACAACACAGGTACCAACTCTCCTCTCTCATCTTGCAAATGCTGAAGCATGAGAAAAAAAAATTCTAAAATTAAGAGAAAGGCCACCAGCAGCATGATCTCACTGCTGGCCCCTCTCAAGTCCGTGGGAATTTCATCCTTAATGGCAATGACAGCCCACTTAGTCTAACACTGAATATCTGGGAAGAAGAAAAATAATCCCATTGTTTCTTTATGTTAACAGAGGACTGGTGTGTAACAAAGAGGAAGACAGGCAGCCTGTGTGCTGCCGGCGGGTTGGTAAGAAATCCTCAAGGTCTGATCGATACCAAGAAAAAAAGCACCTCTCCTCTGGTCTGAGCTTGGAGCATTATTCAAGCACGGCGGCCACCGTGCAGCTCCTTTTCTTTAGCTACGAAAATCTGAGACTAATGGACACAGAAAGAAGAACGGAGTCGATCGCAGGCATTTCTAACCCTTTATATGCACAAAAAAAAGAGTGAGCAGAGGTATCCAGGCGCGTACATGAGCATTTCCAGGAGCGGCTGTGCATCTCTCTGGGTACCTGCTTTCTAGGGGAAACCCAAAACCACATGATATTCACAGAAAGTTGGGAACAACTTCTTATGGGGAAAAAAAAAAACCTGACAAAAATCAAAAAACCTTTAAAAAAAAGAAAAATAACAAAGCAATTGTTCTGGGAAAGCCCGGCAAGGTATTTAAAGCAAAATCCCCCCACCGACGCCGAGGAGGAGCTCCAGGAGAGGAGCCCGGCAGCCGCCGGCTCCCCCTGCGCCCGCCGCCCCGGGCAGCCCCGCGGCTCTGCCCGCTCCGCACCGCCGGAGAAGGGGATGCCCGGGCCCTGCCTTTGTCTCCCGGACGCCTCCGAGGCGGGCACCGGCTGCCGGGATGGATGGATGGGCAGACGGACGGGCAGACGGACGAGCGAGCAGGCGGCACCGCAGCCCCCGCCGCGCTCCGGGAAGCGACGCGCCCGCCCGCCGCCCCGCAAGGTCGAGCCTCCGCCCGCGCCCCCCGCTCCTACCTCGGCAGCCGCCGCCGCCGCTGTCAGG